TAATGTTAAGGAATCAAACATTGTAAATAATTTATTATTTACATTCAGTTCTGGGGATATAGTGCGGAGACAGACAGAAATATTACATAGGCTATAGACCTAACGTCAGGCCATTAATGAGTAAAGTTACGTCGAGAGTAACTAAGTTATCAAGAAAACAATCTACCCTACCAAAAAAAATTTGTTAATTTATTTATGTAACAAAATGGGTATTATTTCATATACACCTCACTTTACCGATGTCTTTAAAAATGAAAGGGTATTATTTCTTCTTTCAAGTGGAGTTTAGGGCAGCTGCAAAAAAGAATACATCTTCTTGTTCCACTGCTAAAATGAGAGTCAGGCATGGTGGATCGATCGAACAAGTACATGTAGGCCTACATATGAAACGATGAAGGGTCAAAGTTAAAAGTACCACTGCGCAATCGTGACCCCCCCCCAAAAGGCGACGGGCAACGCACGACGGGCGACGGCAGATATGGAATTCCATACTTACAGATCTAGTGAAGGATTCTCATAAATCACACAGACATCAGAAAATGAAGCCAGTACGTTGGGTTCAATGGGCATTTAGTACAGTCAGTGGCCTGGGTTTCAGTGCTAACAACGAGGATGATGTGAGTGAAACAGATCCCGTGAATGGCAAAACAAAAACGAACCACCCACTCACCCACCTACCTACCCACCCAGACATTGTAAAAGTTTTACAGATAAAAGATTTTTGAAAGATAATATTGAAATTCAAGGCTGCCACCTCTGTTTTCTGGTTAAATAATCATCACACCATTTTGCACAAATATTTTGTAAGTTATATTGATAATCTATAAGTGGTTCATGTATGTATCTGCACAATCGGTCAAAGTTTAAGGTGTTTTAATGTTACTTGTTCAAGGTTCTTGTGATAGTCTTTGTGCCTACTTATTTACATTCATCACAATTTGAGTTGAGGGTCTGAGAACCATGGGCTGTATAGCCGTTTTACGTTTTTCTAACTTGATAACCCTTTCTTGCTTTTTAATTAATTGTTCACAGCATAGGTAACAATTAATTGTGCACCACATAAGGTAATCATTCTCATGATTATTTTGTGATTATTCACGTCATATTGGTTGGTCAGAAATATGTATTTGTTTGTACTCTGTTTGATTTGTGCGATAGGAGCACCGCCTATTACCTCGGTACGCGTAGCCTACATAACAAAAATTAGTAAGCCAACCAAAGAGAGTTACCCTTTCGTCAAGACATTTTGAATTAGCTGGGGCTTCTTTATGCCAAATATTGTGAGCACAATTGAATTGTACCCCTTATAAATACATTTTATGGTTTTCGTAATGTTCAATAATGTTTCCAATTTTCATTTTTATTTTTACAATTTTTCCTGAAATAAAATTACACTTTTGAAGTTTACCACGGTTTTGTTTTTCTGTCTTCAAATGTACATGTTACGTATTGCATATGGAATAGAAAAGCGAAGCTTCATACACTGATATTAATAA